GAACAGAGAAAGAAAATTACAACACAGCACACAAGGGGTCCAGGGGTGCTCTGCGCCGGGCATGAAACACGAACGCCAGGCGCAGAGAGTAATGAAACCTCTCTGGAGTAACTTGCGCCGGGCGCAAAACAGAATTGCGCCGGGCGTGCGACACTTAAAAAACTCTCTGGAACTTGTAGCGCCGGGCTCAAAACAGAAATGCGCCGGGCGCAAGTAAACTGATTTAAAAAATTGCCCCAGAACGGGTTGTTCCAAGATCAGAACAGGCCGTTCTTAAATTCGAAACAGGCCGTTCTGGAATTGGAACAGTCCGTTCCAAATTCTGAAACGGGCCGTTCTGGACATGGAACAGGCCGTTCCAAAGTCCAAAACGGGCCGTTCTGGAATTTGAACGGGCCATTTCGAGCATCGCGCCTGGCGTGATTTCACCCCAATGGAAGTTGACAGAACCCCATGAAATCCCAAAAACCAGAACAAAAAACGAAAAAAAAGAAGGTGTACAGGAAAATAAAAACATGTATAACACCTACTTGAGTTCGGAGTGCTTGGAGGCGAAGGAAAAAGAAAAACGAAGGCTTGCCCTTGAAATAGAAAACGTGAGCAGAAGATGGCAATGAGAAAGGGAATAGAATGAGTTGAGCGAGTGAGAGAATGAGGAGTTGGAGGTAGAGGGCGTGGGAGTTGAGAAGGAAGAGAAGTTGAAAGTGAAGAGTGGGAGAGTGGGCGTGAGAGGTTAGGGGGCATCTGAAGGGTCACGCCGGACGTGCAATTCTTCCGCGCCGGGCGCGGTATCAGTAGAATACCAAAGGTTGCCCTTATCTGATATGAAGCCGGGCGCTTCCGTTTCACGCCGGGCGTGGATAGGGTTCCAAACGAGCAAACATTGAATGCGCCCGGCTTGGCAGATGGTGCGCCTGGCGTAATAAATGCTCAGACCTTCTAGTGGTAAATACGCTGTGCGCGGCGGGCTTGCCAACCCCCTGGAGCACCTAACTATTAATGCGCCCGGCACGCTAATAAATGCGCCGGGCTTGGTCGTTCCAGTGGCCACAATGAAGTTTGGGCCGCGCGCAATTAGAGATTGCGCCCGGCGTGGGTGTTGGCAGAGACCAATTGGCTTTGGGTGCGCTGGGCGTGGCTATTTCGAGCCCGGCGTGATTAGTTCTACTTAAGCTTTCACCTACATTTTTCACTCCTCACACTCCTAACATATTCAACTTAACTCTATCCACTCAAGTATGATTCACACACTTAACACATAATACCAAACACAAACAACACAATACAACCTACATATCATAAACTATGCAGAATCACAAAACAAGTCCCAAAAAACAAGTATAACATACAATTCTAACACAATCATAAACAATCAAAGTTAAAAACACAAGCAACTGAAAAACAAATAAAAACACAGTTCAGATCTCTGGGTTGCCTCCCAGGAAGCGCTTGTTTATTGTCCCGAGCCTGACGGTGACCAACTTGAAGTGCTCTACTCTCCTTCTCCTCCTGTTGCTCTTGTTCCTCCTTGCTTTGTGCTCAATCTGAGGATTGCTCAGCAACTGCTCAGAGGAATTGGTCCATCTAGTTCACAGTACCTTGCATACAAGAGAAAGCAGAGGACTAGAAAAATTTGCGAATATTTTTTTGCAGAAAAATTCGCAGGAAAATGACACTTTTGTAGTAGTGAGTAATGAAACTCTTATACTAATCCTAACTAAGCCTCGATGTCACATGTCTTATCAGAGCACACCCCACAATGAGACTAAAACCTCATCACCAATATCCTCATGTTGATGATCACCTGCAACACAATAAGAATACAATAGAGCAACAAGGGAGTGAAAAATATCTCACTCTGGTTTAGATGTAGAAATAAATGTTAGGTAACACACACAATAATAACAAATACCATTCAAATTACACATAACCAAGCACAACTCTCAAGTTACAAATATATTAGAGCACATGCACATTCACTTATCATGCAATGATGTCATAGACTCGACTCATAAATGCATGCATGTGGCGCCATACGGAAGTTGTACATTTCTCATCACTGGTATGCTGCTACAACAACATACCTGGGGGCACGTTCATTTATAAATACATCACTAGTGACCCAAGGTACACCTAGAATAGTTCAATACATCTCTAGCATGCGGCCTAAGCAGCACACTTGGAATAGCTCAATACATCACTAGCATGCGGCCTAAGCGGTACATCTAGAATAACTCAATACATCACTAATGACTCAAGGTACACCTGAAATAGCTTAATACATCATTGGCATGCGGCCTAAGCGGCACACTTGGAGTCAGATATGCACATGATGTATGTGACACATTCACTGTTCATTGACTCAACATTTCACTTATCACAGATTTTCATATCTCATATCACATTATCTCATACTATCATGTCACATGTCACACATTCACTTTTCATATTTTCACATCATATTTACATAGTCTCATACAAGGAACTTCTCATAGCTATATACATCAGAATAACACATAAACCATACCAAGAAATTATCCAACATCATACACATTCAATTTGCAATTCATGACATACGAAGCATAAAGGTCATAGACTCAACTTCATGATTTCACATATTCTCTACAACTAATCAGTTAATATAATATTTCAATCCGTCAAAACACTTCAAATATTACCTAAAACATGAATTCATCATTAATTTACATATAATGCCTCAAAATTCATCCAAAAATAATACCCCTAATTTCACTTCATAGGGTTTCTCACAGGAACCCATAGAGCACTCTGAATCATATCAAAACTTGTCTATTTTTGAAATTAATCGCATATTCACATTCAGTAACCATCAAGAAACACAACAGAAAACTCAAACACCAAAATAGAAAACATTCAAAAAGTATCTGTTTCTAAGAACATGCATCAAGCAAAGGATTGAGAGCCAATTCTGCTATCAAACATATCCAATATCAAAATTAAACACACATTCATGTTCAACATTCATCAAGGAACACAATAGAAAACTCAGAAGCCAAAACAGAAAACATTCAACATTTGTCTATTTCTCATAGGGTTTACCGTAGGAACCCATAGAGTACTCAAACTCATCAAAACTTATCTATTCTTGAAATTGAACACATATTCACACTTAGAATTACACAAGGAATGCAACAGAACAATTTGAACTTGACCAATCTTCGCTGAAGAATACTTGAACACCGCAACTCAGTTGATCTCGGCTCGGAGCAAATGATAAACGCGTATCTTTGGGGACCCCTCCCATACGCCTATTTATAGGCGTTCCTTGCAAGTATGTCAAGCACCACACCCCTCTACACACCGTTGGATCACTTAGATCCAACGGTTCATGATGCGTAACCCTTCGCGTGCGTCATTAAAACTCAATGGTTATAACCCTTGGTATTCTGACAACGGTTACAACTCTTCGTCTTCCATTAGCAGTCATAACTCCTCGCATGCATCATTAATGCCCAACGGTTACAACCCTTCGCTTCCCATCAGCAGTTGTAACCTTTGGCCTTCCCTCAAAAAAGGTAACAACCGAAATACCACATTTATCCTTTGCGTCGTTTCACTCCTAAAGGCTGGGGGGCTTGTGTACCAGGAGGACCCTATCGGTCACGTGGACCAACACGTGCCGTTCCGTCAGACACCCACGCGAACTGAACCATGCCTACATAGACCTTGATGCTAGCATCGGCTCGGCCTACAGCCGAAGGCCGAGAAGAGTCTGCTAGAAATATCGGCTCGGCTGAAGGCCGATACGAATAGCACCGTGATGCATCTCCATATACCGCGTATCGGCTCAGCCAAACGCCGATCAAGTAGAATAGCCGAGCAAGTACTTATCGGCCCGGCCAACAGCCGAAGACGTCCAAAACCCCAAGCCTTAACCTGTCGGCTCGGCGATGTGCCGAAGGATAAAGCAAGGATTACAATATTGATCATGGTTAACAGGGATAAGCGCATGATTAAGACATAATTAGCCGATTAGCGTCATATTACCTAATTTGGTAAGCTTTAGAAGAGGCCCACTACTGACAAGGCTTATCAGTGGTAGTATAAATAGGTCACTTATATCGAGGTACGTCACTGTTCATTAATTATCCTAGATAATCGTGCTTGTCCTGACTTGAGGTCGAAGTGCCTTTTGCAGGTACCTCCCCCCTCTGAAACGTCCACCAGAAGTATCCGTTCGGCCCTTCACCACCTAGAAGACTACGAGTGTATCCTCAGACAGGTACAATATGCATAATTAAATTAATATTTCATTGCAATAATACGCAGAACTGTTACACGAAAGATATGAGAATCACAATAATCATTAGAATTTCTATTTAAGGAACAACTTTAGCTTACCTTCTAATATAAGGTAATTTATACTCAAAAAAATTTATTTTAATATTTCATAAATTTTAAAATTGTTTGAATCCTTGTTTCATTTATTTATGTAGAAAGTTTTTTTTTTTTCTATTATTATGACATAAAGGTTGCTATTATGTTTTAAATTTATAAAAATGTATGTTTATTATACTACTGAGAGAAACATTAATAATAGACCCTCTAATATAATCTTTTAAATATACTCTCATTAATTAGTTTAAAATTTATTGAAAAAACATAAAATTTAATAAATCTATCATTCTAATAAATTTTAATTATAAAATAAATGTGTTAAGAGAAGTATGTCAAAAATAATATGTTGTTAATACTCCACTATCCATTAATTCAAGCGTATACTATTTTATCAAGGATTTAACTCCATTTAACATAATGTCTGAGTTGTTTGTTAAAAAAAATTTTTTTTGAAGGTTCAAATTTTCAATAATGATGGAGGATAAAAAAAAAAAAAAAAAGTGCACATTTTCGTTTCTTTGTCTTATATCTGGCCCATATAACATGTGTGGCCTAAATCTAACAAGGCCTAAATCGACGGTAACAGCACAGTCTTGAGTTGACTTCCTTCGATGATGTCACAAAACATGAGATACCTTAAATTCGGTGTTGTTGCTGAACACAAGACAGTAACAAACTAACAATGGCAACGGTTTTGTGTCTAAGCAAATTTGCTACGTTCAGGCCACGACCCTTCTCTTCACCCTTTCCCTCCACACCTTCTCTCTCCACAACTTCCATCAACCTCACTTTGGCCCCGTCTTTTTCTTCTGCAACGCTCTCATTCACATGGGACGATGTCTTTCGCGTATCTGAATCTCAATCTGCCGCACAACCCCGCTCTCGTTATCTCCAAGGCTTCTCCCACAAAGTTCAACTATGCAATCGTGCTTCTGTAAGTAATTCTCACTGTTTTCTCTGCTTCGTTAAAAAACGCAATTAATTAATGAATGAAGCAAATTTGATAACTTGACACACCCAATTGTGTGCTTGTGCATCATTCCCTGTCTTTTACTATAAAGTTTTTTTCTTTTCGGTTTTTGAGATGTGGGTCTGCCTAATTTTAAATTTTTGGATAGGGTACATTTGGTTTGATCATAAACTGTGTTATTGATGTTGAATTTGCTTATAGGAGAAACAATCTGAATTCCTTCCATTTGTCATTGAGGACCACGTTGTCGGATTCATTCACAATGGGTAAAATTTACTTCAATTCTACATTATGTTTTTTTCTGAACAAAACTTAATACAAGCGCTAGACTATTCTTCGGTTAGAATTGAAGTATCATCTCGGTAACACGAGTAAAGAGGATACAGTGTTAGTTAGAAAGAGTTAAAATACTAACTCTAGTTAGTTCTCTCATTGTATATAAGTTCAACTTCTCTATATTTCTAAATGCATTCAATATTCTTCAGACTCAATATAATTCACTCTCTGTTAGTTTCTCTCAACAATGAGTTAATATTTAATTGAACCCTTTATTATGCATATTATTGAAATGAAACTTCAATTTTAATTGGAGAACAACACTCACTATACCTATAAATTTACTTCAATTCTATATTATGTTTAGTCTGGAAAAAACTTAGATACAGGCTCTAGGCTATTCTTCGGTCAGAATTGAAATTTCACCTTAGTAACATGTGTTGATATTTAATTGAATCCTTTACTATGCATATTATTGAAGTGAGACTTTAATTTTAATTGAAGAACAACACCAATGATATCTATGAATTTACTTCAATTTTACATTATGTTTTTTTCTGGACAAAACTTAGATACAGGTGTTAGGCTATTCTTTGGTCAGAATTGAAATTTCATCTCGATAACATGTGTTGATATTTAATTGAATCCTTTATTATGCATATTATTGAAGTGAAACTTCAATTTTAATTAGAGAACAACACCAACAATACCTATGGTACTACATATAAGTTTATCCTTCTTTTTTTCTTGTAAAATTCTTGTGTCATCTCATCCCTCTGTGAATGTCTCATTGGTTAACCTTGTTGGATTCTTTTTTGAATCAATTTTTTATGTTGTTCTGATTTATTATGATGCAATGAACTGCTGCTTGTGCACCTTAGCTAATGATAGTGGCAGGTTTATTGGCTAAACTTAAAATTAGTTCAGGTTTGTGGAGCATTTGAGGGGCTTTGGCGAAGTATTTGTTTTCCCGAAAGATAAATATAATGGATGCCCCAATGGTGAAATTGTTTCTTTGCATCCATTGCTGAAGACAACTGAGGAAAGAACCAGTGCAGTTGGATATGTAGTAGAGCGTTTGGGAGAGGAGCAGATTCCAGGTATACGGAACGAGGTATTAATTTAGATATTTTAGATTTAGAGTATGTTAGATTTTGTCATTCTTCTATGCTTTTCTAATGCCTGAGTACCTAACCTATGTTGTATTTCCCATGTTTTATCAGCTTTACCCCGTGACATCATCATTTGGGGCACCCATTTTCTTTTCATTAGAGCGTGCTGCAGCTCCCTATTTTGGCATAAAGGTCTGAGAATATCTCCGGGTACTTGACTGCCAAACTTGCTTTCTTAAGCAGTTGTAGTTATTGCATATGTTTGAAGTCATATATTCAGCTTGGTATATATTGAATTCTGCCAAGGCCTTGTGCTGTTATCGTAGTTTAGACTCATTTTTACTCTTCTAAAGCATGTTTAACCACAATTTATCATTTTGGGAGAAAACCAATTTCCTCCTCATTTCATGTTATTTATAAACTAATTTATGCCAATAAATTTTTATGATAAAAACTTTCAAACAAAACAGTCAAGTATTGTTCATTGTAAAATTGAAATTGAAAATTGAACTTTCTTTAGTTTTGTGATTGTAGAATTGAATGTTGCCAATTTGCAATCTTAGTGTTGGCATCATTTTGAAATTAATTGATGATTTGTCTTCAAACAAATTCAGCAAAACCACACAAATATTTGTTTTACAGAAGGTTTTCTAGTTGATAAGTCCAGTTCATATCCTAAAGCTCTTGATGGTTATAACATCTTTGACCCGTTTTTTTCTCTTCAAAGATTAGGCTTATGGAGTTCATATGAATGGCTATGTGGAGGTGGACGGGGAGAAGCACCTGTGGGTAGGGAAAAGAAGTGACACGAAACAGACATATCCTGGAATGCTTGATCATCTAGTTGCAGGAGGACTGGTTTGTAGTTTAATTTTTATCTGTTGAGCCTTGAAATGTTTAAAGCTTTTGCCTCTGGTTAGGAACTGAACAGTGCTCATAATGTGCAAACACTGATTAAGCATATCAATATCGGCTAATAAGATCAATTTACTATCAGACATTTCCTTTAGTTCAATGAATTATCATTGAGATTCTTAGTTAATTACTGCTGTCACAGCCGCACGGAATTGATTGTCAGGAGAATCTTGTAAAGGAATGTGAAGAGGAAGCAGGAATACCTAGATCTATCTCTATCAAGTAAGTTACTAATCTGGCACCAAACTTGCCTACTTTCTCCTTTCTTCCTCTAGTGCACGGATTTTGATTTTCCTTTGGGATGGCGAGGTAAGGTAACTGAATATTTTTTCTGCCTATGCTCAACATGTTTATTAGGTGTGTGTACTAGTTCACTCTTTCTAAGCATAAGCCAAAATGACAAAATCCAAATAAGTAGTTCTCTTTCTCTGTCTAATTCTGTTGATTGCTGCTCTCACAGAGCCATACCTGTCGGTGCTGTTTCATATATGGACATTGATGGGTTTAGATTCAAGAGAGATGTTCTATTCTGTTATGATCTAAAACTTCCAAAAGATTTTGTACCTAAAAATGAAGGTAAGCCTTACGAGTTCCTCAATTTTACTGTTGTATATGTTCTAGTGGGACCCGCTCACCCTTTGTGATAACTGATTTAATAAATATCAGATGGAGAAGTTGATAGCTTCAAGTTGATCCCTATTAAGCAAGTTGCAGAAGTAATACGCGACACACAGTTTTTCAAGCCGAATTGCTCTCTTGTAATCATTGACTTCCTGTTTCGACATGGGTATTTCTCTCTTTCTACTTCTTTCCATACTTTTTTTCGTGTATGTTAATATAAATAGTTAAATGGATGGAAAACATTAAACAGTCTTTTTACATTAAAATCCTAACATGCATATAAAATGGCAATGTGGTCATTGTTCTATTCTGTGAACCATATGGTATTTGTATGCAAGACTTTTGGTTGTGTGCTACTATGCTTTCTGGGAACTCAAGTTTGGTTTATTTTTCATTTCCATTTTTTATGGGCCTTTGGCAGAGTATACACAATGGATTTGGAATTTCCAAGCCTTGCAAATATATATTAGGAAATCATATATTGCAATTATACTTCATACGAAGTAACAAAAGTGAAGTTTCTTTTGCAATTGTTGTCTTAAATGATTATTCTCAGGGTGGTTCCAGTGAGAACTTAATTCTGTTCTTCTGTTGCAGATACATCTGCCCTGAATATCATGGATATTTGGATCTCCTACGAAGCTTAAGAATAGGAGACTGCTCCTGACTCAAAGCATCATGACTATTCACTGTCATGCATTCATATGTTCAAGTTTCTTGGTTATTGTTATCCTTCATATTTGTTGTTAAAATTCCATAATGGTTATTCAATATTATCTTAAAATCTCTTAGATTGTACTTTTCCAGAGATGTCTTCAACTTGGATACTTATTTTGTATTCTTTCAATAATGGTTGAGAAAGGACCATTGAAACATTAAATATGTTCAAACAATAATTCCATGCAAAATCTGACATGTAGATTTCATCAAGTCAAAATTGCGGCTGTTTGTTTGTTCTAGCTGCAACCTCTTAAAAAAACAAAGAAAGATGGTGGTCCAAGTCATGTGGTGAAGATGAATTCGACCAAACGGATAAGATGAGATTCATGTCAGCATAAAGCTGAAAAAATAAGGATTCAATGCCCCCACTAGCATAATGATGAGGAGATACAAAAATAAAGTACACTTCCACAAAGCTAATTAACATCACTGGTTCAAAATTACAAACAATGAATTAATTTACACATACCACACTATTTCCACAGTAAGAAACCATATAATCCTCACACAACTACATCCTATAATTGACATCAGAAACAGGTATAACTAAGGTGACAAAATGACTAAATTGGAGAATTACTAGCCCAAAACAATGAATTAATTAACAGATACCACACTATTTCCACATCAAGAAACCACACAGTCCTCACACAGCTACATCAACCTATAAATTAAATCAGAAACAAGTATAACTAAGGTGACAAAAGGAATTAAACTGAGAATTACTAGCCCAGAACACCCTTAAGCACATCAACTAGCTGAAGCCATGCAGTTAGCTGAGGAAAATGCCCTTTAGTGTCCACAACCTCCAATGTAACTTTCCCTTTAATTTTGTTCTCCATGTAAACTGCTACATTGTATGGAACAACAATGTCAGCAGAGGTCTGAATGATGGTGCATGGAGTTTCAACTTTCTCAAGTATATCTCTGTAGTCACTATAGAAAACAGTCTTGGCTAAGGAGGCTGGAACTTCAGCTCTCATTTTTTTCAAGCACTCTTTGAATTTGTGAACTGATGGCTCATCATTTGGATCCACTACAAGCAAGGAGAATGCAGAAACCCAGTTTTCATAGTTGAACTCTATCTCCTTCAATAACTGCTCAATATCTGAGCTAGTAAAGCCCCCCTCATAGTCTTCTGTATTAATATACCTGTATGTTATGGCAATAAGTTAAGGGACTATTTGTTTTTGTATAACTAGGAACCATACTAAGACAGGTCTCAGGTTTAATGTCATTGATGTGATTCGATCATAGTTTTTCTAATGCAGTAACAATAACAGCCAACTCTCACTAAGTGAAAAAAAAAAAAAAAACTTGATTTTGTAATATTAAAAAAGTAGGGTAGAACTACATCAATGAAATTAAACATAAGTTAATGGTGAGAGATTTAAAAGTGAATAAAACTTGGGTGAAAACCTGTACATATTGTTTTAGGCACGAATAATTAAAATCATAATAACAACAACCTAGGTCCTATAATTCAAACTAACCAAAGCCTCATAAGGAATGTTCATTGTTGAGTTCAAATGAGTTAGGCCTATGTGGATTAGGATCAAAACCAAATTTTCACACTGTAGGACACATTTTAATTATTATAAGATTTATGAATGAGATTAATATGAACATGTATCCTAATCACATTCAACCGTTAAAAATCAATTTCATCAAACTTAATTTATTAAAATTCAAAACAAATGATACTTAAATTTATGAGAAACTTTAATTTGAATAGTTGCTAAATATATTTCTACCATGAGACCGAATATACATACAATAATTTACATAACAGTTTATGCAATATCATTTTATTTTATTTTATTTTTGTTTATTTCTCTCCTCTATTTACTATATCTCAAATTTCTCTCTCTTTCTATCTCTTAGTTGTACAAATTGTACAGGAATCGAAATTAAAAATTAAAAATATACAGAGAATATCTTTTTGATTTCTAACTGAAATTGACTTGGCCGGCAAATTGGTGGTTCAAATTTGAAAAGGGGCTAAGGAGCCATCTGCCAAATCATACTTTATCAAAAGTGCCGAGATAATTGAAGTCAGCAAAGTGGGAAGAGAAAGTGAAGTTTTGTCTTTTTGAGTTAGTTCAGAGTTCAGACCCTTTCTGCTTATTCTATTAACATATTTTTTTTATGGATGAAAGCACAAATGCATCAAACCCACCACGCTGAAAAAGTTGATAGCACGACAAGAGTACAAAAAAAATTGGACTCCTTCCCCACAATAACGTATACACCACATGATTTGGTTGGTTCATCTTCTTTTTCTTTAATAATTTTGGTAACTGGTTGGTTCATTTTAATAGAAAAAACAAATAATATTTTTGCTTATATCCTTATCTTGTGTACACTCAAAAATTGCAAGTTGTCCAAATTATTAAGTGTTGATTAGTTATTGTTCGTTTTCCCTCACAACTGTATACTACAGATTCCTACAGACAGTTGAGAGTCCTAGAAAGAATTTTGGGACCCAACCCAATAAACACAGTTCTGTAGTAGGCATGGGGATTCGCTTAATAGAAAGAGACAGGAAAAAAAAATAGCATATAAATCAAGGCTAACTCAAACAATATAGGTATGATGGGATTAGTGAGACAAATATTAAGAAAAAAAAATTGACAGTGAGGGGAGAATAGATGCATCTTAAAAGGGACAACAAAAGAAAATTATATATATTTGTACAATAAATTGATAAAAAAAAAAAGAATTATACAATAAAAAGAGATGAAATAAAAGGAAAAAATGTGAGATGTACATAGAATAAGTGATATGATAGAGAGATATAGAGAAAAAAAAATTTGTTATATCAATATTGTAAAAAGTATTGTGTGAATAATAATATAAATATATAATAGTGAAAAGACAAAACTGTAAAAAAAAATATTAAGGGTGCTGATTCAGAAAACAAAAAAATATAGAAAGAATATTTAATATATTAAACAAAAAATTGTTTATAATATTGTATGTTTAAATAATTTAAAATATTTAATATTTTTCAAACTAAAACAGTTATTAACAATGTTTTAAAACCCGGACTGACCCGGCCGGTCGGACCGGTCGG